GACACTGAATGTGAAAATGACCTGGGTGTGTATGTTGACGACAAACTGAAGTTCTCAGGTCATTGTGAGAAGAAGGTGAATCAGGCAACTAAACCAGTAGGTCTTAAAAGAAGGTCGTTCAGATATCTAGACGGTCCGTCCCTTGTAACTTTCTTCAAGAGTGAGGTGCTTCCTCATCTGAAGTACTGCCACCCTATGTGGTCCCTGAGATATGCTAGGGACTGTTAGTTGATTGAAAATGTCCAAAGAAGGGCCACCAGATTTGTGCCTGCACTCCAGCACTTAAGTTACCCAGAGAGAATAGAACACCTGCAACTGCCTAGCTCAGTGTTATTCACTGATTTTAGCAGAAAAGCCAACTTGTCAAAAGAATTCTTTGAGAGAGCCACACTTATTATAGTCTTAAAAAATAATGATGCATAAACATTACTATAAGAGAAAAACCTACCTATTATTGTGTTGAACGAAGTGTGCCAGCTGTTGCTTAACCGTCCACATGCAATACTTGTAGATTGTCTCTGTAATTCTTGTACGGCGATCCAGATGGGCATTGGTCAATCTGGTCCTTTGTTTTTGCCTCACTATGTTCATTGTTGAAAATGTCATTTCACATGTACAGTAATACCCCGCCTTACGCGTTTTTTTTTTTTACGCGTTTCTACATTTACCTGGTACCCTGCCAGAACCAGAATTCACACTTTACGCGGTGCATCTACTTATATACGCGGGTGAAGTATAATTTTTTTATTTAGCTCATAAAATTCATACAAATTACCCAGCCATAATATAATTTACATTGCTGGAATTCTTACAATATGATGATCATTTTGAATATAAATGTCATAGATTTTGCATTAGACATACAAATTTTAGATGGAATGTAAGAATTTTGTTTATTCAGAGCAAATATGTTATCTTTTTTGCAAAATATATGACGTGTATATTCAAAATATTCCTGGTCTTGCAAGGAATCCAGCAATGTCAATTATATTATCCTAACTTTAGTCTGAGGTATTATTTATTACTAAAAATGTAAATATACTGTTTTAACCCAAACATTTCTCTGGTAGGGAGGGAAGGTGGGGGGTAGGGAGGTAGGGAGGGAGGGACCCAGCGAGCGTGGGAAGAGGGGGGGAGCCGGAGGTGGGGTATTTTGATTGACAGATAGTGTTTGAGTGAAGTATATTTTGTTCATTTACTGAAGATATTTGTTTTAGCTCATAAAATTCATACAAATTACCCGGCCAGAATATAATTTACGTTGCTGGAATTCTTACAATTTGATGATCATTTTGAATATAAACATTATAGAATTTGCATTAGACATACAAATTTTAGATCTAATGTAAGAATTTTGTTTACTCAGAGCAAATATATTATCTTTTGTGCAAAATATATGACATGTATATTCAAAATATTCCTGGTCTTGCAAGGAATCCAGCAATGTCAATTATATTATCCTAACTTTAGTTTGAGGTATTATTTATTTTACCTTAAAATCTAGTGTTTTCACCCAAACATTTCTTAGAGAAGGAGGAGCCAGCGAGCGTGGGAAGAAGGGGGGGGGGGAGTTGAGTCCATTACAGTTAACGAGCGCCTCGGTTAACGAGATTTCGGTTAACGATTTACCTTCCATAAGATTCTTAACTTCGGTTAACGAGCAATCCCTCGATTAACGAGTTTCTTACGAGCCGACCTCAACATGTTTTTGCTTGCATTTGGCAGTCCACCAGCTGTAGTATTAGTCCGCCAATACAGTAATCGGTTTTAGGGCTTAAATTCCTTACTATTTTAGTAAATATCAAGAAGTTTATACTATTCAATAATTTTAAAAGTTTAATATTTAATTTTTTAGTCATTTTAACAATTATTGAACATAATTGAAGGTAAAGAAACTAGTTTCATGTGCGCCATCCAGCCTGGCAACACACCAAACAGGCGCCAGTCTCTCTCTCTTTTCATTGGAGGTAACATCTTGCTTGAGACTCTCTTCAACTAAACTCTTTTTTCTGTGTTTGCATGCAAATTATTGGTCATTTTGAAATTTAATTTACATATTGACAATATATAATGCAGTGCAGTGTTGATTTAAGGAAAATAATCTTGAATTACACCAAGAGAACTAAAATTTTATGGGTGAAATGGTGCCATGGGGTGACGTCTCTTCCACCCCAATGCCTTCTCTTCTCCCTTCTCCACCCCCATTTTAATTCCCATCATCATCATCATCATCATCCAGGAGCCTTCTACATATATACCTCAAAGTAAGTGAACTTTTCTACCTTTTTTGTTGAATTTAGGCAATTTTCGGTGAGCTGGAACCAATTACCCAAAAACCCATTGAAACAATGGTTTCGGTTAACGAATTTTTTCGTTAACGAGCAACCTGCTGGAACGGATTGTGCTCGTTAACCGAGGGACCACTGTATTTGAATGGACATTAACCTGGTAACTGTATTTCTCTTAAATCTTAATTGTGTGTGCGTACCATCATAAAATTAAGATGTTATTTTTACTAGAACATAGGTATTGTGTCGGAAAAAGTGGAGTTTGGGAGTCGGCCCAGTCTCTATTTCAATTAATCCCATATGCTCTGTTATTCCATTTACGCGTTTCTCGTTTTACACGGACCTCTGTGGGTTCAATTGACCGCGTAAATCGGGGTATTACTGTAAATGTACCGACAAAGAAAGACATCAATTTTTGCACATGCTTCTCCAAAGCAGGGTAGTGTGTTTCAGGGACCATGATCCAAAAGTGGTAGACACCTGTTTAAGTTCAGCTTTTAGGATGTCATTTGTCTGCAGTTCAATGATCTCACATTCCACTGCAACTTGGTCAGGGCAGAGATTTGTGAGAACTGAGTTCAAGATGACACTGGCACAAGAAAGGGGTTCTTGATAAAATTGAAAAACTCTTTGTACTTCATAACATCTTTGAATCTTGATTCAAATTCGAGGAGCTCCGGACCATAACCTGCTAAGAGCCACACCGTGGATACTCGAGTCATGAACATCCAGCAGAGATGCAAAACTACTGGTACAGACTGTAAACAGAAGTGATCCCAAAACTGATTCCTGTGAGACTCCAAACTGCAAGGGGACCGGGTCTGAAATGGGAACTTTGCGTGGCTCTATAAATTATATAGAACACACAAGATTAAGAACAAGTGAGTGGCTGGTGAGAGTGCTAGTGCTGATGCGGTGAGTGTCTATCCATCCAGAGAGGAACTGAAACAACTCATTCGTGATAATGACATGTAGAAGTATGAAATGAGACAGGCCTCTATTGGAAGTCCCTGCCTAACAACACTGTTGCATACCGGCGCAAGAGCAGCACCCCTGGACTCAAGTCCAGCAAGCAGCGTGAGTCACTGCTGGGACCCACAAAATCAAACCCATGGTGGTGGGAAATGCCCAAAGGTCTAGAATGCTCTGTAACTCTATGGATCATCTTCCTGTGTCCTGGCGTGGTAACAAAATCGCCTGGTTCACCCAGGAAATATTTGAAGGCTGGTTCCACCATGTTTCTGTCCATACAGTCAGACAATGCCAGATGACAGTCCATGGGATCCCCATGCAAGGTGTCAAGACCTTGCATATCCTTGACAATGTGCCTGCCAACCCTCAAGATCACTTAAAAAGTGATGGGTGCTTCAGAGTGAAGTTTTTGCTGCCCAACACCACCTCACTCTAACAGCCCATGGACAAGGGCATAATTTTGGCCTGCAAACACCACTGCAGGCACCTCATCTTAAAATTATATTTTGGTGGTGGAACCAGTGCCAGAGTGGGAGGAAGACACTTGGGGGGCCAGGACCCTGAAGAAAATTAAGGACTACAACATCCTGGATGCAGTGTTCAACCTCAAGGTTGCTTGGGATAAAATTATGGAGACAACACTGAGCAATGGGTGGAAGAAGCTCCTGAATGGTGGTGGTGGTGCCGAGGAGGGTGTGAGGTGAGTGGTTGCAGGTGGACACCAACGATCCTGGCTATGGTGCCCTCACCCAGAAGGAAATAGCAGCTGATGTCATCAGGTCCTATGAAGGACAGGAGGGTGGAAGAGAAAGAGGACAACAGAGAGGAAGAAGTGGAGCAAGTTCCCACCACCAGTCTCAGAGAGGCAAGGGCACATTTGGATGCCCTGAATTTTACGGCCACCTCTGATATCCTCCGCTTCCTCCCTTTAACCAAAACCTTTGGCAGCTTGCCGAGTACCAGTGACGGTGACAGTGTTTCTGGCTTCAGCCCACCACATCCTTCAACTTAAGAAATTGCACATCTACCACCTTTACCATCACCACCACCACATGCATCATCATCATCATCCTGTCCATCATCACAACCCACCACCTTTTTGGCAATGGAAATCCCTTGTCTCTCCTGAAGTGCCTTTCTCCTTCATGGATGGAGAGGACAGTGACAGTTAGTGCCAGCTGCCACAGCAGATGGTACAGGATAAGGGAAGGCCATCCTGTATCATCATATCTCCATTTGGCCTGTCTGCATTGCAAGCTCAAGACAACAGCATCTGCTGGTGAGTACGGTATAGCATATACAGTAGTACACTAAACAGTATTTTGTTTATTTACAATATATTGTATGTGTTTACATAAATATATAGTTTTGGGTCTGTCTGACTGGAGTTAAACTGCTCCATGCGAGATCCATAGTTTTGAAGCGGAAACATTCACCAGTACAGTACCCAGAAAAATTCGAGGGATAAGAAAATTTTTTCAAAACCAGGAAATCTCTTAAACCCGGAATCGCTTTGCACCAATTATTCCAGTTAAAGGGAGATTACTGTATTTTTTCTTACTGCTTAAAACATATTTGTACATATAGAGAATGCTTAATGTGTAAAGTATTGTTTTGAATGATGCAAGAATTAAACAGGGATTGTGATGGAAAACTTTTTATCAAGCCATGATGAGATAAATTGTCTTGAATTTTATAGGATTTTTCATGATTTTGTTTATCATAGTTGTCAATTTGCAGGATTACTTAGGAGAGACCTCACTGCATAAGGCTGCTCGCACTGGTTCTACAGAATGTGTTGATCTCCTTGTTGCTAACAGAGCCAAAATTGGGTAAGTCACTTTGCTTCCAGGTAAGTACAGTATTTATCTCACATTAGGAATTTAGGAAGACCAGACAATATTTTTCTCTGTAGGTACCGGTAGGGAGCTCTCATCTCCAGCCATATAAGAAACAGGTTCAAATGCTTATTGAGCTGGAGAATACCCAAAAAGATATTCATGTACTGTACTGTACTGTACTGTACTTGTATATTCTTTTGAGTGCCTTCCTAGTTATATCTTCAGAAAAAAAAAGGAGTTGTCTTTAATGAAATATCCTGGATTATTTCTGTAACTGACCACCATGTGCTGTCGTGGGAAAGGGAACATAAGAGTGAAAACAAAACAAAAACATAAATGGATAGTACTGTAAGGTACTGTATAATACATTACAGTACTATATAGGTATTCCCATAAAAAATTTTAGTTCCCAGTAAATTGAAGCATATATTTCTATAGACTCCCACAATAAAAGCTAATACTGTATACGTTCCTAGAAAAAATTCTTAAAATACCACAAAATTCTACAAAACATTTTTGGGGTACACAATGACTATGCCAACAAGATACCCCTACACACTTTTACTTTTATCCTCTTCACCACTGAGTGGCTTGTTAGCTGCTTGGGCAGTCGGTCATGTCTCTGTTTGTTTGCTTGTTTCATAAATGGCATGCGTGACATTGTATACTCCTCCATACAAATGTTTGCCGATGACGCCAAGTTATTTCGGGACTGTGAAGAGCTGCAGAAGTACCTCTGTGGGCTCCAGAAATGGCCAAAGAAATGGCTGCTGAGATTCAATGTCACGAAGTGTAAGAGGATGCACGTGGGGCGTACCAACGATAAAGAGGAGTATCATATGTCCCAACGGGATGAAGAAACTGCACTAGATGAGACTGAATGTGAGAAGGACCTTGGTGTGTATGTTGACAATGAGCTGAAGTTCTCGGGCCATTGCGAGAAGAAGGTAAATCAGGCAAATAAATTATTGGGTCTCATAAGAAGGTCGTTCAGATATCTAGACGGTCCGTCCCTCGTAACGATCTTCAAGAGTGAAGTGCTTCCCCATCTGGAGTACTGTCACCCCGTCTGGTCCCCGAGATATGCTAGGGACTGTCAGTTGGTTGAAAATGTTCAAAGGAGGGCCACCAGACTGGTGCTTGCACTTTGGCACCTCAGCTACCCTGAGAGATTGGAGAGCCTGAACTTGCCTAGCTTATAGTAAATATGGGCAAGCGGTGACCTAGTTGAGGAGTATAAGCATCTCAAGGGGCACTACTCAGTCGAGTGTCCTTACTTGAAGAAGTCGCAAGTCCAGAAAACTGTGAGGGCAAACTTTTTTGGAGTGAGGGTTGTAAACTCTTGGAACAATTTACCAGAGAGTGTTGTGACGGCACCGAGTGTGAGCTCTTTCAAGACAAGACTTGACCAACACTGGAGCGGGTTCAGGTACATTCAGGAGCCGGTGCATGCCCAGTATTTGCCAACAGTGCGTGACAGAGACGTGACCGATCGCCCGGGCGGCTAGCGATCCTATCTTTTGGTGAAGAGTATAAATGAATAGGAAAAGTAATCAGAGACGTGACTGATCGCCCAAGCAGCTAACGAGCCGATCAGTGGTGAAGAGGATAAAAGTAAAAAATTAAAAGTACACACTTTTGGTAAGTAATGGGCATGCAATGGCTCTTGAATGTATCTGTACCTGCCCCAGTGTTGGTCAAGTCTGGTCTTGAAAGAGCTCACACTCAGTGCTGTCATAACACTCTCTGGTAAATTGTTCCAAGAGTTTACAACCCTCACTCCGAAAAAGTTTGCCCTCACAGTTTTCTGGACTTGAGACTTCTTCAACCTTGAGCTGTGAACCTTTGTGGGGTGGGCATCCGCCAGTGCCATGTATGGACACTCGACTAAGTAGTGCCCTCTGTGATGTTTATACACCTCAATTAGGTCACTCATTTCCCGTCTGCAGTAAAAGCTAGGCAGTTGTAGGCGCTCTAATCTCTCTGGATAACTGAGGTGCCATAGTGCAAGCACATGTCTGGTGGCCCTCCATTGGACAGTTTCAATGAACTGGCAGTCGCTTGAATATCTTGGGGGAACAATCTGCCAGAAAGTGTTGTGACGGCACCGAGTGTGAGCTCTTTCAAGACCAGACTTGACCAACACTGGGGCAGGTTCAGGTACATTCAGGAGCCGGTGCATGCCCAGTACTTGCCAACAGTGTGTAACAGACGTGACCGATCGCCCAAGCAGCTAACGAGCCGATGAGTGGTGAAGAGGATAAAAGTAAAAGTAAAAAGTGACAGTACTGCATATGGGGAAGCACCTCACTCTTGAAGATTGTTATGAAGGACAGACCGTCTAGATATTTGAACGACCTTCTTATAAGATCTAATAGTTAGTTGCTTGATTCACCTTCTTCTCTCAATGGCCTAAGAGCTTCAGTTCATGGTCAACATACACACCCAAGTCCTTTTTACATTCAGTCTATTAGTGCAGTATTTTGTCCCGTTGGGACATGTGATATGCCTCCTTATCATTGTTATGACCCAGGTGCAGCCTTGGTCATTGAATCTTAGGAGCGCATTCTTCAACCACTCTTGAAGCTCACAAAGATCTTTCTGTAGCTCTTCACAGTCTGTTTGGCTTAATTTACCTGAATAACTTGGCAATGTCCGCAAACATTTGTATGGAAGAGTGTATAATTTCCAGCATGTCATTTATGGAACAAACAATCAACTATGTGCCCAGTACACTGCCCTGTGGTACCCCACTTGTCATGGGTACACATGATGATTTTATAACATTAATCACTACACTTTTCCTTCTTCTTGGAAGCATGCCTTGGTTCAGCCCATCCCGAAGAAGGGTGACCATTCCAATCCCTCTAACTATCGTCCCATTGCCCTCACTTCATCCCTCTCTAAGATTTTCAAAACTATTTTAAACTCTCATTTTCTCCGCCACCTTGAATGCCTTTCTCTTTTGTCGGATCACCAGTATGGCTTTTGCCAGGCAAGATCTACTGGTGATCTGCTCTCCTACTCTCTTAGGGATTATGGAGAAACTTTCATCAGGGCCCTCTACATCTCCAAAGCATTTGACAGGGTATGGCAAAAGTCTTTGCTTTCTAAACTTCCCTCTTATAGTTTTTCTCCCCCACTTTGTTCTCTAAATTCTAGCTTCCTTGAGAACCGATTCATAGCAGTTGTTGTCGAGGGATTGATCTCTCGCTCTTTCTCTACCAATAGTAGTGTCCCACAGGGTTCTGTTCTTTCGCCTACTCTCTTCCTTCTTTTTATCAATGATTTACTTCACACTACGACTAATTCTATCTGTACTTACGCTGATGATTCTACTCTTTCTTCTTCACATTTTCCCCTTCCCCCTAATTCTCAAACTAGATCTGCTTCTAGAGCCGATATCATTTCACCTATCAATGAGGATCTGTGCAGCATCTCCGAATGGGGAGGTAGAAACTTGGTTAAATTCAAAAGTAATAAAACACAGTATTTACCAATTACACTTTCCAAATTAGATGATCTCCCACCAATCACATTTCAGGATGCAATCATTCTGCCACATTCTAAAATAAATATGCTAAGCCTCACCATTTCGTCTAATATGTCATGGAAACCACACATCCACAACATTGTTAAAGCTGCCTCCCGAAAGCTGGGAATGCTGTACAGATGCTGTAGCTACTGCACTCCTGAACAATTGCTTCAGGTTTATAAGGGATTCACTCGTCCTAACTTGGAGTACTGCTCTCATATCTGGGGTGGCTCTTCTATCCAACTGTTAGATAGGGTAGAATCAAAGGCATTTTGTCTTAGTAACTCTCCTCCTTTAGTGATAATCTCTCTTCGCCGCAATGTTGCTTCACTCTCTCTCTTTTACAGGTATTTTAACGGGCAATGTTCTGTGGATTTGGCATCCTGTGTACCGCCTGCAAGGCCGTGGGCTCGTAACACACATCTTGCCTGCGGTGCCCACCGTTTCTCTGTGGATGTCGGTCACACTAGAATAACCCGTTATAGTGCATCCTTCTTTCCTCACACAGCCAACTGTGGAATGCTTTGCCTTCTTCTGTGTTTTCATACTCTTACAATCTGTCTCACTTCAAAAAACTGGTCTTCCAGCATCTTCTTGGTGTAGATAAGCCTGCAATCATGAAGAAAGTCTCCAATGCATATTAGGACACTTCCCCGAATCCAATACCCTTCCAGTTTAATTCTCAGCCGTTATGGGGAACACTGTCTAAAACTTTGGCAAAATTAAGGTACATAATGTAGATGTTACTGCCCTGTTCCATACCGTAATTTGAGTCCAAACATCCAGTACCTTGAGTAATTGTGTTAAGCAGGAGCGTCCTGGCATAAAACCGAGTTGGCAATCCCTTACGAGGTTGTTTCGCAGTAGATGTTCCATCATGGCATCTCTTATAATGCTCTATTATTTACACACTATGCTGGTCATGCTCACTGGTCTATAATTATCTGTGGAGTGACGATCGACCTTCTTCAATATAGGATTCCTATAGCCATTTTCCAGTCACTGGGGACCTTTTGCTCATCCAGGAATTTACAGAACAGGATCTTCAGGGGCTCAGCAAGCTCGTTGCACAACTCTCTTAACACTCTGGGATGCACCATGTCAGGGCCAGGACTCTTATGAACCTTTAGCTTTGTCAGGCTATGCCTTTATTGCATGTAATTAGAATAGGAAAGTAGCTTAATGAATGTTTGTTTTAGTTTTTAGAATATATTTACAATGACCAAGTACAGTATTGGTTTTACAGGTTGACAACCCTTTATCCGAAATTCCGAAAACCGAAAAGCTCTAAAAACCGAAAGTTTTTTGTGGGGGCATTTTTTTTTTTTTTTACAGGGATTATTAGCTCACCCAGGCACAGATCACTGACCCACATCGGGGCCTGGGGGACGAAAATGTAATAGTAATAGTAATTATAATTATAATAATAATAATTTTTCATAGTAAATAAAAATTTTAATAAAAATACAGCAAAATAAAATAATAATGATTACAATAATAATAATACTGTAATAATAATAAAATATAATAATAAAATTAATAATAATAATAATAATAATAATAATAATAATAATAATAATAATAATAATAACAATAATACTGTAATAATAAAATAATAATAATACATTAAAGAAATACAAGAATGAAAAAAAGATCAAAAGTGAGAAACACGATCTAGACCTATGAATTATTATTATTACTATTATTATTATTATTATTATAACTATAATTTTTATTATATTTTCGCCCCCCAGGCCCCAATCTGGGTCAGTGATCTATGCCCGGGTGGGCTAATACAAAAAACAAAACAAAAAAAACACCCTAACCATTCTGAAAACCGAAAAATTCCGAAAACCGAAATGCCTCTGGCCCCAAGGATTTCGGATAAAGGATTGTCAACCTGTACTATATGTACATAACTCCTCATTTCTATAAGGATATTATAATGTAGACAATTAGCCATGGTCACATAACATGCTACAGGAGTCTGTGGGTAGCCCTGATACAGAGCTGTACTGTAGACTGGTTTTAAGAAACTAAAACTTTGTACAGTACAGTACTGTATTGGCATTTGCCTGAAAATGGTGATGGGTGTGGATGATTGTGCTGACTTATGTAGTGACAACAGTTTTAGGATTGTGCATTAGTCTTCACTTTATTCTCTTTGCCCCTTGTTCATATCATTAGCCGTCTTGCTTGTGTTAATATGTTTATCTTATTTACTCATAGAAAGATATAGTACTTACAAACCATACATTAACATCCCATAACCTTATTATGATTAAACTAATGGGTTGACGTACTTTCAGAAACCGCAACAACAATGGGCAGACAGCTGCTCAACTTGCAAATGCATGCAGTTACACAGCCCTTGCCAATCACTTGCTGCAATTGGAAGGCAAACAAGGTATGATAAGATTTATATAACAGTTTTACATGCGCACATGCTGCCGCCCCATCACACAACACCCACTCTATATATTGGTGTACAGTATATGAGAGGAAGAGCCAACTAACTAATGATATTTTCTATCCCCAAACTTCCAAGGCACAGTCCACCAAGACCTGGAGGCTGTTGTGATCTGAGACTAGGAACATTATCCTATTACATGTAACAGTTAAAGGTTGTTTATATACCTGCTCAACCAGTAGTTAGTTAGGCCAAACCTTTACTATGATCCATTACCAACAGTACTTTAAAAATATCACTGGAGATGCATAAACTTGGGATGGTAAATCATAGAACCAAGTGACTTTAGGTATAAACCTATTTCCTCTTTTCTGATAGGAATATAACTTTAATCATTTAGCTGAATCTTTGGGAAAATGATTCTGCTGCTGTATGCACCAAAAAAAAAGCAAATAAAACTCTTTTTGACGTACAGTATTATATTCTTATAAAATTAAGAGCACAACCTCAGGCTCTTGGCTGGGTCTTCCAAAGACACTCACTTTCACACTTGGCCATAGCTAAATAAAGGAAATACTGCAGTAAGTCACCCTTTTAAATGACTGGTAAATATGCTATCTGACTATCATTTATGCTCAAAAGTACTCACATATGTATGTTTTCCAGGTGTGACAACGGATGTGAATAACTCTATCACACGTAGTGTTCCAGCTCATGGGCTCAATGGTGGAGTCTTCCCACATTGTGCTGAGTCAGCCCTTTTCACCAACAAACTCATCCCTGTCTCAACCAATGGCCAAACAACTAATGCTGCTGTGTCATCATCTGTCACAACTACAAATGGAAATGCTAATTCCACTAATGGTTGCACTAGCAATGGTACATGTACTTCATCCAATGGCTATTATGGATTCCAGCCAGCAAATAACCATAGTAATGGACACGTGAATGGCCAAACAAATGTTTTCATAAATGGCTGTAATGAGCAATCAGATGAGTGTGACATGGAAACTGATGTGACACCTGTTAATGAAGGCTGTAATGGATCTGCCACCAGTCACAAAAGTGGCCCTGAATCTGGCTTGCTTAAGACCTCCATAAATGGTTTGCAGTCTCAGTCAGTAAATGGTCATACAGATAAGATTCCATTTGGATTTACTAATGGACATGTAATTGGAACAGTTCTTGGATTTGCAAATGGACACACTGCTGGCAACATGCCAAAGTTTACAAATGGTCATAGTACTTGTGGAAGTAACCAGAATGGCACAAATGGTTTTACTTCAAAAATTCAAAGTAATATGGGAGAAGATATCACAATTAACCCTGGTGTTTCACAAAACCACATTCCAATAGCAGGCTGCAAGAGATCAAGAGAAGAAGGAATTATTCCCGAGATGAAGAGGATGAGAACTGAGGGTAAGACATTATCTGTTTTGTTGAATAAAAGTTCCAATAATTGTGAAAATCTGTGTTGGGCCATTGTGTCTTAAGTTTGAACTATGGATCAAGTAAAGTATGGCTGCTGTATGGTTGATAACTGCAAATCGTGAGAGAAAAACTTACTTCTATAGCTCTTCCTATTATAATGTACCGGGTATATATTTTACCGGTACAGTATCTATTATCTTAGTAATCACTGTACTATGAGCATATCTTATGCCTATTGACGCTGTAACCAAACATTTAAGAATTTATTTTACTTTATTTTAGAATCCCATCATAGAATGAGAAATAGTGAATGACACCAAAAAAATTTAGTGTCCCAAATTATATATATGTATGTACTGTATGTCAATTTCATATTTTATACCATTAAATTATAAATTAAGCACCAGCAAAAATTCTAAGTGGACACATTTTATAAGTGATGCTTTATATGATATATAGTTGCATCATACTTACAGAAAAATAGCCAGAACCTTGCAAATTTAATGATGCCAATCTAATTTGATCATTATGATATCACTGATTTGGTTTAAAACATTAACACCTGAGGACTAACAACAACTTCATGGGAGGAAAAGCATGACTTAGAGTGTTTATGTCAACAGTTAATTTCTAGCTTAGTGCCCTGCGGCAAGTGTTTTCATAATAGGGCTAGCTAGATTGGGGGATCTAGGTCACTAAACTCCAGTCATTGTAGCTTGAAACAAATGATAGTCCAGCCCTCCTGTCACAACTATCACCTACCAACAGGGAGGTTGGAAGCAAAGTTGTCCTTAAGAAGCTAGAAGCTATACTACTTACCTTTCCAATAATTTGTGGAGTTCCCACAGTTCTTCATACTCGCTTTAAGGCAAGAGTATTGTTACCCTAATTTATAACTTTTAAGGTTTGTTTGTGTCATTCCAGCAGACATGCTGATGTAGGCAAACCTCCGTTCATCTTTTAGGTGATTATTTGTTTTGCAATGACTATGCCAAGTCCCATGCAAGTTGATTATAGAGTGAGCTGATACAGTAATATCTCCATTAACCGGAATCCCTCAAACCCGGAAATCTCTGATGGCCGGAATTTAAATTTGCTTGGAAAATCATTCCTAGAGCCGGAATTTAAAAAAAATTCCCGGTCATAAGACCCACTAATCCCCCACTCAAAACTGGGTGACCTGACTTTGCAACAGGTCACGTTAGTAACGTGACACAATAATCTCCTACCCATACTTCATCGCAAGTTTTAAGACATGATTAGTTATGTATTACAGTACATGCAATTGAGTGAAGTGTGTAACAGAGACTTGACGATCGCCCAAGAGACTGACGAGCTAATCAGTGGTGAAGAGGATAAAAGTAACAGCTCTATTCATGCCTGTATCATATAGAGCTTTTGTTTTTTTAAATATATTTATTAAACTAAACTTTTAGATAAAGTATTCAGGATTATTTTGATAAAAAATGGTTTTTAACGAAATTAGAAGTGGTTTTACCGGCTCTGGTATCAACATTTCTTACGTTTTTTTTTATAAGAGAATGGAATTCCCATCACTGTATCATATATAAATATTTTGTTTAAGGATATCTTATTGGAATTGTTTCGTAGAGAATTTATTAAGGATCATTATGGTATCAAATTCATCTCCCTATCACAATTAGCTACACTTGAGTGAGGAAGAGGGGGGGGGGAGGAAACTGACCGCACGGCCCTCCCTCCTCCCCCCCCAAAAGGTTGACTCCCACACTCTTCAGCCAAACATTACACACACACACACACACTCCAACAACCACCTACACACTCCAACAACCACCCACACACTCCAAAAACCACCCACACACTCCAACAATCACACACACACTCCAACAATCACACACACACACACACACACTCCAACACCACTCACATACCCCTAACACGGGAATTAAGACAACAAACATTAGGAGTAAGGATTATTGTGTGACAAATTTGCGCGTGTTACTGCGAGTTAAATATTAGCTGTTGAGGAGTGCTTGACAACACTCATTTCCACCCCATCTCTCTAATTACCCACACCTTTCTGCTTTCTCTCTCCATATTTTAAAATGTTATGTAACGTAAAGTTATGTTGAAGGGAAACAACTTTGCTCATTTATACTTATACTTATCACAATCTCTCTAAAAATACTTTACGTCTCGTGTTTATTCAAGACATCTTTAGGTCATGAGACCCACTAATCCCCTGGTCAAGAAAGGGTGACCTGACATTCCATTACAAGGTCAGTAATATGAGATCACTAATCCCCCACCCTACCTCGACCTGAAATTGCGTCAGGTTAGGTTCACGAGTGGAAAATACCAGTCTTTGCTGTAACACAACTTCATTCATGCCCATATCATAAAGATTTTTATTTTCAAATATATTTATTTTACCAAACTTTTAGATAAATTATTCTGGATTATTATAATAAAGAAATGGAGTTTCTAACTTAATTAGAAATGCATTTATGGACTCCGGTAGTTTAGACTTAAGGAAAACATCCCCAGCACCCAGAAACATTCTGGAGAAGTGTCTTAGTGTCTGTGTACACAAGATGTCTAGTTTAGACACTGAAACTTTTCCCAGTAACCGGAAAAGATTCCAGAGATAGGGAGGTTTTCTGGGTTAGAGAAAGTCGTATGGTTACCCGGAAATCTCTCATCCCCAGAAGTGCTCTGCACCAAATGTTCTGGCTAATGCGGATATCACTGTATATGGTGCGATGAAAGCCGTAGGTTTTGTTGATGGTTTTGGGTTCTTTCTGGATGATGCTTATTGGGTTTTACATGTACAGTACAGTCTTCTTTGTTCCATTGTTACCAAAGGTTTTACAGGGTATGTGCTTAGTTGTGAGTTTCATTAAAAATCATAGGGAAACTCTCAAGGGATTTGCTTTTGATAGGATCAAGTACAACATGACCACTTAGCCTCATTTTATGATGAAGGGTCAGCTGCATTGCACCATATTGGCTCTCGAGACTGTAGCATTGTACCCATTTCCAGATAAATTAATTGCAGTAAAAATATGTTTCTTTCCTTTTCTAATTTCCATAAAGGAAAAAGGGAGGTGAACAGGGCTGAGTTTGACCATACAAGATGGAGATCCTACAGCAAATATCAGTTTGACCCTTTTTAAAGGAAATTCAGTTCATTTGGGTGTGTTAAGGTAAAGAAAGCCTAAGCTATGTTGATTCTTTCTTGAATGGAATAAATTTAAATATTCTTCAGGATTATGTGACCAGAGTTGTAAAAAGTAATAGATTTTGTTACCTAAGTAAAAGTATTGTTATATTGTCAAAATTTTACCCAAGTAGAAGTAAAAGTGTACTTATGTAGAAGTTAAAAAGTATCCCATTCATAAAGTACTCAAGTACTGAAAGTAAAAAGTAACAAAAAAATTATTAATGTCTCAAATTTAAAATAAATCTGCAGTAAATTATAAAAAACTAGTTTACTAAAGATAAAAATAAAAGACACAGCATTACACGTGTTTACTTGCAACTTTTTCTGTTGAAATTAATCAATAACTGATTCTCAAAATTATGGTTGTCTAATCAGGATCTTTTAAACCTAAATATAAGCCCAGCATGACCTACAATCCATCACAGGGATATTGAACGGGTTGAAAATATATCCATCTAACACTATGATCACTTCCTTCCTTATCCACACAAGTATCGTCGACGTGGAGTTATGGTCCACAAACATAATGTTGTCTCTGCTCACATTAAGTTAGGATACAGACTTATCTGGCAAGTATCTGAGGCGGGGTATAACCCGCACTTCTCTTCCTGTTAACTCTGCAAGAAACTGCCCCAATGCTAACACCCTTCAACACTATTGCCTTGACTGTCCCACTGTCAGGGATCCCCTACCACAGGGAGAGTCACTAACCACTATATGCCCTATATGTCATCACCTACTTGCAATAAACTCTCGCACTTCCGGACCTCTCAGATCTTGATTTCAGTTGGTCCGGACCGACATCTGGATGTGGCAAATTCCTATCCAGTCTCTTTCTCTTAGTCCGTATGCTGTGTTTACTCCCCCACTACTAAAATGGATCCAGTCTGTGTCATCTGCTGGGCCAAGCTGTTGTGTTATGGTTGTTTTTCTACTTGTATTTTTGGGTCGATATATTTAACTTTTTGGGTCGATATAATTAACTTTCTTCATTTATTTTTACTCGGTTACATGTCCACAACATCCTTCATACATATTGTGAAGAAAGTAAAAGAAATAATTGTCCTAAGGGCAAACACAAAGGGAATTTACATTTCTTTGCACACGAATTAGCTGGCTGAGGGAGGGAGGTGAAGATGGTCGCAGAGTGTGTGTGGGGGGGGGGTGGGGGGGGGGTTGCTAGGGAATCGCCGTCCCAACTGATCTTTGTTACTATGAAGAAGCAGGGAGTGTATGCAAAGGGCGATTGTGTTGAACTTTTCATTTGGCCTCTATTTACTGGTTTGGCAATACAGTATTTTTTGTTGTAACTTATTTATTGGTATTATTTTTATTCATTCCTCACATTTCCTGGTATATATAACTTTTAAGAAACTATGGTTACAGGAGGAAAATACGCACAGAAGTTTTTTCCTAAATATTCCCTGCCATAAAATACAGTACTGTATTTTTTGGTTTTACTTTATTAACACCAAACTTTATAAATGATGTGTGTGTATATGACGTCACATTGAGGGAAGGAGAGCTCCGCACGTCCTCAGTTATTATGTGGCTCACTTTACACCCACTCTCACATACTCATATTCTTTATTTTTTCTTATTTTATAGTTTTATATTATATTGTATTTATTTCTAAGCTACATTAGAGTATTTTAATGATTCTTCTACAACTTTTATAACATTAATGCTCCAGAAATGGTTGTAAAACATGGCACAGTGAGTGTGTGTGTGTCTACTGCTCTGTATGTGACGTCACGAGACGAGGCTGGATGGCGAATCAGTC